GTCAGGATTCTTGGAGGTCAACTTCGGTCAACGGTAGGGATCGGGACTAGACTCAGGGAGGAGTTGAGATCTAGACGGTCAAGGATACCGAGTGACGAAGTTGGATACGAGATGGCATACGGTGGATGGACACCGTATGGGAGAGATCTTCGCAACGGGTTTCATGAGGTGTGCGTGCAAGCGACGGTGTTCGCGAAGGAATTGGAGAAGAGTATATGGTGCTATAGTATGGCATGGTACTGTAGCATGCATATATGTGTGATTGATCGTGTCTGTGATTGGCTGGCATATGGTGCTACAGTACAGGTGGTACTGTAGCATGCATGTGTGTGCACGTTCTGTGCAAACAGGTAGCAATGCAGCGGCTCGGTTGGATACAGACCGTGTCGGCCTGGAGGGCAAGGCAGAGAGGCCGAGTGGTGTCGGCCCGTGCGATGGAGACCGAGACCAAGCCGGTACAGCAGATGCGTTCGGCTGTGGTTTCGGTGAAAAAGGAAATTAAGGGATTGAGTCCTATTGTGAACTAGATGATACCCCGCGTGTTGCGGCGGGACATTTTGGAAGCAATCGTACTAGATTGTTGGACGATATTTTGAGGAAAAGAAAATAAGTAGGAAAAAAAGAATAAAGCAAAGGTATAACATATAAGGATTAATAATGTTTTACAGAACTGCTAATTAAGGATGAACTTTTGCAAAATGATTAATTCACATGTAAAATTAACTACTACCCAAGCCAGAGTTTGTACAATTGTACATATATGGGTTGTTGACTGAATGTGCGATTTTCTCAATAGGGACAAAGAAATATGAAATTGAGCCTAAAACATATAGCAAAACTTAATGGGAATTTCGAGAAATTTAGGAGGTCTCACTCACATATTTGTTGGCAACGGACCCCTGTAAATTACAATTAGCACGTTCATCGCTATAAAATCTGCTTACGTTTATAAAGTGCTGCAGAAGTTTAAATGGTCATTCTGTATTAAATCACCATGTTGCTTAGAAGCAAAATTTAGAAGACAACCATCCTAGAGAGAGAGAGAGAGTAACAATTACAATAACGAAGTAACGTGTAATTTGATTGGGGTACAAACTTGACCCTGTTTGATTATGATATAGTATGACTTATGATTATTCATCTCCCAATCAGTGAATCGATATGTATGCACTTGCTCTAAGCTAGCAGGAAACACCAGAAAGCAAAGAGCACTTATATTGCAGAAATGATCGTCGAGTAAATAAAAAGGGAAAGGGAACCTAATGTTGTTCATGAATACACAGATGCAAATATGTTAGAGGGAATTCGTATCTTGTGCTTCTCATAGGTGGAGATCATATGTTGGCTAAGTCAGCCAGCTGTCGTCGCAGTGGAAAGCAGCTTCGTCTTGTGAGAGGCATTCGCAAGTGATGAAATCAAATTGGCTCGGTGTGGACGGTACAAGAAAACCGGTAGTGTTGCGCACTTATATAGGAGGAATTGCAAGTGCATTGCAATATAAAGACACTAAATGGGATTCATCATGACGCCTATAGATAATGGCAGTTTTTCATTACAATTGCTGAAGAGGAAACGAACCATGGTGGAGGCTAGCATTGTTGCATGAGGAATTGCAAAAGGCTTATCAAAAGAGTAAATTGAATTAACTGTGGTGTCTATTCCAATTCATGGCAGTGGGCCGATGGGAAGATGATAAGGTTCGACTGGACTGAAAGCTCCAATCAGGCCTTGATTTTGCAGGCCTGGTAGAAATGAAGATCTAACGATGGATCTTTGTGGCACAATGTTGATCCAACAGCTGAAATAACATGATGACGTGGCTCATTGTGAGACTTGCTTTATAGCAATTAATGCATGTTAGTGGGTACCAATTATATAGGAATAATGGATAGGAGTTTTACACCTACTTTGAGTAGGGGGTTTTGTGGTATAAATAGAGAGGGAGAGTGAGGCCTCCTAGTATCAGTTTTAGAGAGACACAAGTTGAGAGAAAGTTAGGGTTTTGAGTTTAGTTCGAGATTTTGGTGAGGAGTGTTGTTGGTCCACTTTGTAAATACTAGTTGATGCAATAAAGTCGAAAAGTTTCAATCTACATCTTCGAGTTTGTCATCTACCAGTGTTTCTGGGTCCCGACGGTCTAAACGCAGAAGTGCGCGCGGTCTGACCGGTGGGATAGCGGCGGTCTGACCGCAGGTGTTCGGGCGGTCCGACCGGCAAGGCTTCGACGGTCCGACCGGCGGCAGGCAGGTGGTGTGACCGGCGGCGACAGGGCTTCGACGTCTACTTCGTTTGAGGGTAATCTTTAATTCCGCAAAAGATTTTTGGGTTTTTGGTTTTCCCTACCATTCAACCCCCCTCTGATAGGTTTGTTTGGTCTTGTGCGATCCTACAAATCTTGTGTGCTATCGTGTAGTTTTTGAATCTCTAGCCCAAGGTTGTACACTTTATATTGGCCTAACATTTGAATATGCAAAAAAAAACACTGAATCAAATTAGTAAAGCTGGAGGCAAAAATATTCTACAAGCAAACTAGCCGTTGTAAAACTAGCCATTGTGAAGCTTGTCTACAAAATAAGGGTGCAGATCCCTTCCATCCCACCAAATCTCCACATTCTCTCTACTACAAGAAGGGCCCACATCCACTCTATCAAGCAGATCCCAACTTTCACTCTACTCTACCAGCTGCCCACATCCATTCTACACTACCAGATCGACAAAAATGTCCACACAACCTAGCTCCCAACATGATAGTTCTGAGGTTAGCAACTTTGATGCTATCCCATTCCACTTGATTTGGGATTACATCAATGATCCAGTTGAGACTCAGATTGAAAAAGACATTAGTTATCAAATTGAGAAGCAACAGAGAGGTCCACCAAGCCAGCAGAGAAAGTATATAAGAAGGGAGTGTCAAGATGCTGAGGATCGGTTGAAGGCTTACTACTTTTCAGAAAACCCAATGTACAACGATACCCAGTTCCGTCGGAGGTATAGGACGAAAAAGCATCTATTTCTACACATTGTGCAAACTCTTAGTGATTGGTCTCCGGTTTTTCAGCAAAGAAAGGATGCTTTTGGTAAAGTTGGATTTTCTCCTTTACTCAAATGCACTGCTGCTTTGCGAATGTTAGCATATGTAACATATGCTGATATACTGCTGAGACCACTGTCATTGAGAACTTGGTCAATTTCTGCAAAGGTATTATTGAATGTTTTGGGCCAAAATACCTAGGAGGCCCACTGCAAAAGACATCCAGAGGTTGCTTCATGTGGGAGAGGCTCGAGGCTTCCCCGTATGTTGGGAACTATTGACTGTATGCATTGGGAGTGAAAAAATTGTCCGGTGGCATGGAAGGGACAATATACCCGTGGGGATCATGGAGGGCCCACTGTCATGCTTGAAGTTGTTGCCTCACATGACTTGTGGATATGGCATGTATTTTTTTTGGTGTGGCTAGGTCCAACAATGATATCAATGTGTTGAACCAATCATCATTGTTCACAGCACAACATCAAGGGATAGCACCGGAGGTTCATTTTACCGTCAATGGCAATGAGTATGACATGGGTTACTACCTAGTTGATGGCATCTATCTTGAGTGGGCAGCATTTGTGAAAACATTCAAATTGCCTCAATGTGAGAAGCACAAGTTATTTGCTCAAAAGCAAGAATCGACAAGAAAAGATATAGAGTGTGCATTTGGTGTTTTGCAATCTCGTTTTGCCATTATACGTATCCCAGCACATATGTGGAAAAAACGAACTCTTGGTGAGATTATGTATGCTTGCATTATTTTGCATAATATGATTGTCGAGGATGAGAGGGACTCATATGAGGGCCGTCCTGACTTTAACTATGAGCAAAGAAGCTCTCCTGTACACTGAATGGATATGGACAAGGGCCAATTCCTGGATTTGATAGGGTGCTTGAAATATGCGTGGCTATTCAGAATAAAGACATGCATCATCGACTAAAAAATGACTTGACTGAGCGTATATGGGACAATTTTTTTAACTTATATGGACAAATTTGGAGGCAACCAACCTGAGCACTAATTAGCTAGTCTTGTTTTTCATGTACTAAGTATTGTTTCCCTTTCAAATTATTTTTTCTTTACACAATGCAAGCGTACTACTAGTTCTATTACAAATCTATATACCGGATGTTGTTTCTTTTCGTATGAAATCATTTGTCAACTAAATTTATACCGTCAAGTCACAGCAAGAAAGAATAGGACTGTATAGATTACAGAAAAATAATCACCCTGATGCACTTGGTGTGGCGGATCCTCGCCTTGGAAGCGCATATCCTCGGCCTCCGTCTTCCCTCGGCAAGGTTTTCATCCAAGGCCGCCGGCTAGCAGCGCCGTATGCGACGGCATACTGATTCCACTGTGTCATGTGCAACAACCCACATGAGCGCGAGCACGAGCCACACGAGCGCTGCGAAGGATCCGATCTAGTTGGATCCATAGCTGGTTAACCTGATTTGCTCTCGTCCATGGGTTAATTTCTGGATTATCACGAGATTGGAAATTTGGAAGGTTTTGTGAGGGAGATGGGAAAGGAAGGGGAACGAGGGAGAGAACAGGTGCTTGCGGATTTTTCCGCGAGGGGAAAGGTGGGACTTAGACTTTTTTTTTCCCATCAAAATCGATTACACACTGCAGGGATCGAACCAATATTCCGTTCGATTTTTTGGTCAGAATAAACCGACGTTACACTACAGATGCTCTAAAGAACCTAACAGTTAAATTACACCTGGTAGTACCATTTTGAGATGTAAGGAAATGTATTTATTTTGGGGACACAACCCTAGATATCACGTATCACGAATTGGAGGAAGTATTTCACCAAAAAAAAACATGTCAATTACCAAGTTCATTCATAATTTGAAGTTACGGGCATAGAAAATGGTCGGTTTATTTTTGCAACAAAAAGAAGTGCTTACGCTGTCACTTGCTCACTTCCCATGTGACCAAAATCTGAAACTCTGAAACCACAAACCAGACTCCACAAGACCACAACTCGTTAATCCCTCGATCTAAAGAAAAAAAAAACTCGTTAATCCCTCACGCGGCTTCTCAAATTCGCACGCGACGGGATAAAAAGAAAAAAGAAGAGGAATAATTCGAAGGGAAGAGGAGGAGGAGGATCTCAATATCTCATCCTGCTGCCACTGCTCGACTCCTCCTACCCTCCCCCAAATCCGCGAGCCTCTAGGGTTCGTGGGATCCCCCGGAAATGGATCCGAACCCTAGACTTCTCATCCTACTCGTCCTCCTCGCGTTCTCCGCCACCGTGGTAAGAACAAGAACCCGTGAAAGTTCAGATCTTTGGGCAAAAAATGTTGTTTTTCTTGGACAAATCTTGTGAAAAAAGTTGCTGCTTTTTTTTTTCTGCAGGCGGTCGCCGAGGACGGCGAATCGACGGGGGGATCGAAGGTCTCGCTGGGGCGCCGTGCAGGGGTGAGGAATCTGGCTCTTTCATCATCGCTAAATCTGATTAAAGATGTGTGTTTTTGTGTTTTTTTGTGCTGAAGTGCGAATCTGTGATGGTTTTGGATGATGCGAATTGTTAGGGGTTCTTGCACGGGCTGAAGAAGGAAGCAGTGGTGGAGGGAGACCATGGGGTGGCCCTCGATGAGGTCGGCCCCGGGCTGTTCGATGCGCTCTTCGCGAGTCTCTCGATGATCTTAGTCAGCGAGGTACTTGCTTGGAATGAGCTAGGAGGGGTTGGAGTTTGGGTTCCATATGTAGTTGCTTGGTGCTTGGGGGTTAGTTAGGGTGGCTATGAAGTTTTGATGATGAGAGGGGTATTGATGTTTGGGTTGCATTCATGGTGATGTAGATTGGAGATGAAACCTTTATTATTGCGGCGCTAATGGCAATGCGGCACCCCAAGTCAATCGTTCTGTCTGGTGCGCTATCGGCGCTCTACGTGATGACGGTGAGCTCCTCGAGATCAATTCATTTCGTTTATCCTATCCAATGAGTAAAACTTAGTATCATGCTTATACTTGACTTGTTAGATAAAGTTGTAATTTGTAATCCTTCACCCTTAGTATATGTAGGTCCAGAGATAAATTATATGTTACTGCATTGTTTATTTTTGAAGTATGCATTTTCCATAGTTCTGATTAGTGCTATTATGATGGCCTATTGACCTGTGGTGTCTATACTCATGTTTGGTATATGTATATGCCAATTATTTAATTTCATTTAATCTTATAAGAAATTACATGGGTTTGTATATGCTGTTAATATGTATATTTGTTCTCAAGGTACTATCAACTGGACTTGGTAGGATAGTCCCCAACTTGATATCAAGGAAGCACACTAACAGTGCTGCTACAGGTACTTATTTTCTTACTTAGTGAGTTTCCAGGTGTTTGCTTCGGGAGTATGCTAGTTCATGCTTTTCATATCTGTAGTTGTCATGCTGGCATGCTGGCAGTCCTGCCATTTCTTGTTCTTATAGATAGAGGGATATAATAAGTCAGCTAGTTTCCATCATTATTGCAAACTTCTTACATTATGTGGAATTCAATTAGAAAATTAGGTATCGCGGGCAACTGATTTCATAACATATATCTAATATTCCTGTTCAGATTTCTCAACGCATACTTCAATATTTCCATGGATGATAGTTTCTACCATAATTCACATGCTGGACAGTTTACATATGAAACAACTTAGGGCCTGTTCACTTTGATGCCAAAAAAAACCTTACCAAATTTTGGCATTACCAAAATTTTGGCAAGTTGCCAAAATTTTGGCAACTATGCCAAAATTTTGGTAGGATTTCTTATATAGTTACCAAAATTTGGCAGCAAACTAAATGTAGCCACTTTTTTAACAACTTTACCAAAATTTGGTAAGGTTGAAAATGGCATCAAAGTGAACAGGCCCTTATACACTAATATTCCCATTATTTTCTCATAATTTATCTACTTTGTTTCCCTGCTAGTTTTGTACTTGTTCTTTGGACTACGTTTGTTATACATTGCTTGGAAGTCTGACCCAAAGGGATCTCAGAAGAAGGAAATGGAAGAAGTATGTCATCTTTTTATGTACCATTTGCCTGTCATTGTTCATAGTGCAACTCCATTATTCATTTGTTGAGTGTTTGATGCCATGGTCTAACATTAAACATGATGTGCTATTATCTTGACTTTTGTTTTGGTATTTGCACTATTGTAGCTGGTATTGGATTGCCCATGCGAACACAGAACCTGCACACCTGCAATGAGATACTCGAGGAACGAACAGACTTTTGGTGCTGTGGAATCTCTGCAACTTTGGTTCTTCTCATTGTGAAAGGGAAAAAGGAAATAACCACGAAACTCTTGCATGAGCTCCATGATCAATTGACGGCGTGTGCCATCCCACACATCCCGATCATGGCGTGTGACACAACTGGATGTGCGTGCCACGACCAGGACGTGTGGGATGGCACATGTTGTCAACCAATCATGGTGCACATGCAGGGGCTTTGTTGCTTTGTGATTATTTCCTTTTTTTTTTCTTAATTTGCAATGAGAAGAATCAAAAGGCTGCAGCAATTACGCGGAGCCAAAATCCTCTGTTCATTTCCTCCTCGAGTGTTTGATTGCGAGTCTGCAGATTCCGTGTTTGTGGGAAATTCGATGGATGGTACCATCGGTTCCAGAACTAGCATTGTGCCCAGGTGTTGTGACAAATGCGATATAAATACTGTAAGATCTAAAGTCAAAAGCACGAAAAGTAATTATGCTTGAATCTAAAAATTGTATACATGACTACGTATTAATCAATAACCTAAATACAAACCTGTGCAAACTATGCAAAGTTCTCATACAACATGTTGCCAACAATACAAATATATGCATATATCTAGCCACACAAGATCTAGTGTGGGGGATGGATGTTAGAGCACCCAATAGCACAACTCTTATTAAAAGAGTAAAGATTAAAACGTCCAGAGTCCACTTGCTGACAGAAAAGAACGGAAGGAAGAACTACAAATGAACTATTGACCAGCCTAAATCATCACTTTAGGAACATGAGTCCTTTTCATCAGTAGCTAAGATAAATAAATAGCATGATACTTTGTTCCTTCAAAACTGGCAGACGGGCATATGCTAAAATGTCTAATAGTAATTCTGATGCCTTAGCATTAACTGAAGTTTTTGTAAGTTACCCATTTCCTAATAGGCTTTGGACTTGGTTTGACTTAGTTTTTGATAGATCGGATTCATTTAAGTGCAGATTGACTAGCTGCGGCTTTTGAAGTGTATGCGTTCAAAATGACTGCTAATCTTATAAAGGTTTATGCATGTCTGGACAGGTGGAAGAGAAGCTTGAGTCAGGTCAAGGAAAATCAACCCTTCGCCGGTTCTTTGGAAGATTTTGTACACCGATCTTTTTGGAGGTCATCTTTTGTCACCTTATAAATGTTTGTTAAATGTTCCAAACTGGGACTGCATGCGTATTCAGTACTTATATTCAGATGTTAAATGTGTTGTACAATAGCGCCTTATTATTGTTGCTGTGTTATATTTGACTTGAATATTAGTTCTCTTTTGGTAAGTAGTTATCTATAATATGCTTTTTCTGATGAGACACTCTTTGAAATTGCATCTCATAATTTTTTTCTCTTCCCGCAGGCTTTTATCTTAACCTTCTTAGCTGAATGGGGCGACCGAAGCCAAATAGCAACTATTGCGGTAGTGCTACCACTCAACTAGCAGCACATTTTTTTTTCTATTTCTTAACCGAGTTAACTCTAGCTATAAGCACCCAAAACTGCTGATATAATTGATCTATTTCATTTATTTTACTGAGTGATGTGATAACATACTAGAAGATGAATCTTCCAGGCCCAAATATATGATTTAATATTTTGCTCTTATGTTACCTTGCAGCTTGCAACCCACAAGAATGCAATCGGAGTAGCAGTTGGAGCATCATTGGGCCACACTGTCTGCACATCACTTGCAGTCATAGGTGGGAGCATGTTGGCATCCAAGATTTCACAACGGACAGTTGCAACAATCGGAGGTGTTCTCTTCTTGGGGTTCTCCGTGTCATCGTACTTCTATCCCCCACTATGATTAACAGCATTAACAGCTCCTTACTCTTTCTTGATACCCTTTGGTCACCCTGCTCCCTGTGTTGAGCAAATGAGTAGAGGAATTAAATTGATTCTTTGGGCACCTCTACGCTACGATTCGCAATTCATGTATAGCCCTTGCAAATGAAATTGTTCCTGACCATGCTACTTCACTTCAGTCTATAGCAGAAGCCGTCTCGATGATGAAATCATGTCTGATTTTTTGCTTGGTTGTACCTGACATCTAACTTATACAATATATATACACTATGTTGTTCAAGGTTCCTTGCGTATAGAATATTATTCTGGTACCATTTTCTATCTACTGTTGTCCATTTTCTTTCAGCCATACAAAGTTTAGGATGAAAAAGAGGTGAGAATAAATCAAACCATAAATTCACCTTTTGGAACTTAATAATCTGGACCTGCTACAGCTTTGCACAGTTGTACCCCAGGCTTATACCAGGACATTTTGTATGGATTTAATGTTGATTGAATGGCACATTTATCTTATTTGAGTTATGATCACCGCAAGTTCTCATATGCATATATTTGTACCAGTGGTCATTCCGGTCCCCACATTTATAAGAGGTTACAATAAAGTCCATCCATCATGGTTTGCTGGTGACTAAATGTTTGATAACATTTATTTTTTGGAGGGAATGTCTGGTGACATCGATCTTTGCAAGAACACCAACTAATTGGCATGATGCGATTGTGAGACCCAGCAAATCCAACCTTTGCATTGAAGTTTGGTAGAAATCTATTTATTCTTGCTTTGTGCTAAAAAAAATGCTTGTAATTAGCATCGTTTTGATGTGGTACAAGATTATGCAACAAACTACTTTGAGAGAAATTTATGAAATAAATATTGGATTACTCTTTATTTCCTCATTGCTGCACTCATTAGTTGCAATGGAAATTGTACCTTTACGATGGTAGTATGAGAAAATAAACAAAATTATATAGCCACAACCAAATTTAGATTATAGTTTTTAACTTTAAATTAACTTAAGTGTTTTTCATTACATTATAAAAGTTTAAGCTAAAATCATTGCTTTGGTCATGTATCTCTGCTTGTAAGTTACAGCCAGAAAAAGCTCAGTAATATCACTGATAGATTTTTTTTATGTTAATAACAATAAATACTTCACTTATGATAGATCGCTATAAACATGAGAACAATTCTTACATAGGGAAGAAATAAGATGTACGTACAATGGTGGAGTTGTGAGAGCCTTTTTTTTTTAGAGTAAGTAATAGTAAGTTTTAAATCCTGGTATCTATAGTTACGTGGTACACTTTCAATAGCTTCTGTTTCCTGTCTTTTATATAACTGAAAAAAAATAAAATCATACGCTAACAACAATACACAAATCTACAACCATCATCAGCTGTCAACGTTGATGTGCATGAAATTCAATCGGCACATCGATCAGCAGTTGATTTTGGATATTCTGTTGACAGGTTTGAGAAAGACACAACGACAACATGCAACACCACCGTATAGAAACAACGCTATACGGATTTTCACCAATCGTAGATGGAGATTTAGCAGTAGGTGTTATCTCTATATTTAGGATGATGTTCTAACTTAGGGTGTGTTCTTTTCTCCCATTTTTCAACTTTTACTCTCCCGTTTTCTGATTATATGTTTCCGAACTACTAAACGATATGTTTTTTAAAAGAAGCTTTCTACAGAAAAGTTGCTTAAAAAAAGCATAATAATTCATTTATCAAGTTTTGAAGCTAATGATACGCTATTCCGTTGCTTCGTTTTGCATGCCGAGGAGAAATAATTTCCAACCCGCTCTACGAACAACAAAGTAGCTTTCTTCTGTTTAGTCAAGTTATACTTTGTAATTTATAGTCCATCGACCTACGAACTTCAACTTTTTATAATAATTGGTTATAGATTCTTTCAAAGCAAACGCAGAAACGAATTTCATCATCTTTGAAGAAAACATCACCCACAAATCTGCATCGAGATTCGTGCACATAAGCCTACAGGGGGCGAGGAGCCAATCCCGCGGCGACAGGTGGCAATGGCACGCCCAAGTGGAAAATAGTGGATGCACCGTACCGCCCGGTCCGTCCGTGTGGCAGCACAGCAGGCAATAATAACCAAACTGATACCGGCAGCTACCGCACCTTCCTTTTGTTTTTCCATCCATCCATCCAGATAACCACCATAACCACCTCCATTTCCTCCCTCCCTCTCTCACTCACTGCCTTCCCTTGTACTCCACACTCTCCTCTCTCTCTCTCTATACATACTTAACAATGTGGCCATGGCGACCAAACGAAGGCAGGCCAGGCACCACCATTCTGCAGTTGCGTCCATCTCTCACAGCTCTCTCTCTCTCTTTCCCTGAGCATTTTCTAGTGTGTTTCTGGCAACGATGACACCGATCTCCGAGCAGCAGCCCAGCAGCAAGGAGGTGCAAGGAGGACAGGCTGCTGCTGCTGCTGCTGAAACGAGTTATTTCAGATCAGCTCCAGTTCTTCCTGCAGGTGAAATGCATAGTATACGGTCCATTTCTTGTTAATTATCATGGTTCATGGATATGGTAGGATATGGTCATATTCGTCGAGCGACGCTGCAGGGACTGACATGTGGGTCCGGGAACGTAAGAGGCCTAATTTTAAGTAAATGTTAGGAGGTTCTAATTTTTTTCACCTCTTTTTTCTATAGAGGTAAATTAATTGGTACGATTGATGGCTTATTTTTTCTTCTCATATTTTTTTATATGCGTATCTTTATTTTAGGCGCGATGCAGGACGAGGAATCGACATTCGGGAAGGCGAAGAGCGCGGACCAGGAGGAGAGGCAGCAGGCGGCGAGGCGCGACTTCCTCGCGGGGATCCGGAAGCTCATCAAGAGCTTCAAGAGCCTGTCCCACATCTTCGAGGTGTACAAGGAGGACGACGAGGACGAGGACGAGGACAGCATGAACATAGAGATCGGGTTCCCCACGGACGTGCAGCATGTGGCACACATCGGCCTGGACGGGTCCAGCAGCATGTCGAGCCTGAGGGGCCTGCAGGAGGAGGCCAGGGAGCTGCTCTCCATGTCCAGCCTCACCATGGAGCAGTTCGAGTTCGCCATGGCCTCACTGGCTGCTCACAAGGACCCCAAAATGGTGGTAGATAGAGTTGCCCCCAATTAGTTTACTAGGATGCCATAATATATATAGTTTATGCTTGTGATCATGGGTTAATTTGTGCTGTAATTCTCTTGCGTACTCTTTTTTTTTTGTATTTTGATGCTCTTATTTTTGTTCTCTTTAATTTGTTCATGCCCTGTGCTACTTTGTATGGAGTTCAGAATTTTGCTTGATTCGTGGTGATGTGAGTCATGTGACTAGGTTCCTTTGGTTTGGGACTATAGGCCGATGAAATGTTTGCTTATATATAGTGTATATATATGATAGCACAACAATGTTTAGAGAGAATAAATGGATACGGTAAAGATTACGAAATAGTATGAAAATAGATACTAAAAAAAACCCCACAAAAAATGAGAGAACATGTGCAATCTTCTTTGATGGTATCACCTATCTGCCCTTGCTAGGCCCCATTTGGAACATTGCCAAAATATCGTGCAGATTCATGTAGGAAATAATTCTGTTAAGTTTGGATGCAACAGCCGTGAGTATTGTCACATAGGAGTACCAGTCAGTAGTGTTGCAATCATATACAGTATACAAAAAATCCATTTCAGTACATGTGTAACTTAATTTCCCCAGTACTGCAGTACTACTAGTAGAAGCAGCAGCAGACAACCCTGGAAGTTGTCTGAAGAAACAAGTACACTGCACTATCTGCAACAAGAGAATACCTGATGATGATATATAAGCAAATAAAAATTACTAGATGAATGATAGTAGTTTCCATACTTGTCCAATCACATGTGCAGGAATTAATGAAAAAGGAAAAATCAAGACCACTGCATCTGTCACAAAGATGTACTAGCTCACACGATTTCTCAGTACATATACTTGCACCAGTTGACAGCCTTGGCCTTTGGGTAAATCTAATTTTCAGAGTGGGACACCAACAGTTGCTTGCTTTGGAGAATACATGCTGATGATGATGGACGCACATGCATACACCAGAATCAACTCCTTGGGATCCAGAAGAATTCAAGAGTCAATGCATATACAATACTACCAAATTAGTTTTATTAGATCTAACATTAAATACATTTTGATTGTATATTTATTTTGTGTTGAAAATGTTGGTATGTTTTTCTATAAACTTGTCATACACAAAGAAGTTTTCGTTCAAAAAAAAAGTACACATTGAAGTTTAACCAGGAAAAAAACAAAGCATCTTAGAATATGAAATAGAGGAAGTAAATGATTCCATCTAACAGAAAAGACACCTGATTACGCGGCAGTCCTTGGAAAACAGCATACTATAAAATGACAGATGGAACAATACCAGGGATAGGTGCCCAGTACAAAGAAACTTTGATCAAAATGACAATATGCATATGCTTGTACTTCTTTGGATCACCATGTGTCACCAGTACACTTAGAACTCATTGTCAAATCGCATCGCCCAGTCTTTATTTACCAACCGATGCATCAGACGAAGAAGTCGGTACAAACATCTGAAATGCTCTGTTTTGTTTTGTTTCAATCAAAATCCCAAATGCACAGCCCCATGTTAACAGAACTCTTGTTTGCTGTAGTGATCTGGTACAAGAACAGCTTCTTGATCAATTTCATGCTGAGATGGATCCCTCAATACGAAGGCTGTGTGTATAAAACATCCAAGACACAGGTCAACAGAAACCCAAAAAGAATAAATAGCTTGATTTGTGGAATATTTATTCATTACATGCAAACACCTACCGAACGAAATGACAAAACTACATCCTTCATTTAATCGCTGTTTTAACATTTCTCCAAACTTTGTCATAACACGATTCATACAAAGCTAAACTTTATACATTCAATGAGCCATGACAAATGTGAATTTAACAATGTTTCTGAACTCCAAGCAAATTTATGACAAATTGATTCTGCACTGATTTAAGTTTTGCAAAATAAATGTGCTCTCTACAGACACCCACTAATTGACCTAACCACAATGACACCTACTGGGCAAACTTTCAGTTCATGGACCATAATAGTAGGATTTTTTTTTTTTTTGCAATTTGAGTATGGTTCTATATCCGAATGTGCAATATGATAATTGGGTTTTCTGAAGATGAATTCTCAAATATTAAATCGGAAATTTGTACTCTACATGAATTATACCAATGAAATCTGTGTTAGAAAAATGAGTTCAGGAGTATTCTTGATGCTCAGGACATAGTTTCATGTGTATAATCTCTAGGAAAAGGAACCTACCTAAGATCTTATTGCCTGTCTTTTATCCACATTGTCTTTCTGTATGTACAATTTGGCTCCTCAATGATCAGTGCATGATGCTACAGAATAATCTCATGCATGCCCACAAAATACACATATTTGTAATATATGCTCTTTACCTTCATTAACAAATATAACTGTGAGGAGATAATTGTTTCACAGAACCACTCAATCAAAATTAATTACTTGTGTCACATCAAATAAGTGGACCATGTCCAATGCATTCTAAATGCCAATTTGTCTGTTGTACCCTTTTTTCAGCAAAGCCAGTTTCTGATGTTCAGTGTGTCAAATTATGGTCATATCAATAAATCATGCATTTATATGTCCAATCACAAACAACACATAAAGAGAAGGCAACAAATATGCAACACATTAACATTAAGGCACATAATTAATTTATTAGAAAGATACAGGCTAAATCAAAGATAATGATCATCACAAACGCTGTAGATCTATGCTAAGAAATGAAATAATTAAGTGCACATGATTTCAGTAGTACCTCATGGGCAATTCTATGCTGAGGCATATAATCAAACCTGATCATCCTCTGTTTCCACCTTGGATCATTGGAAAGCAATGTCACTTTTCAATCATGTGTACATGTAGTTGTAACATCAAACTCCCTAATCTGCACAGGTCTTCTGAGGAGTGGACCCATTTACGCATAGAACCTCACTTGCACATCCATCCTCGCTTTACGCATAGAACCTGGAGATGTTATGGTTGGGACGCACGGATTTATATGATGGCATTAATCTGTGTAAACTCTCCATGATAGTCTAATTCCACCACAATCACACAAGATAGGCCACAAGGGCCTCTACTACAGGCCAGGGTATTACATGAACCCCCATGATCACTCCCAAAATCCCTTCCAAGGAGCAGGCTCGCTTAGGAATAGCACCGCATTTACCTTTCATCCTCGCTTCATGTAAAAGGAGTAAGGAACCCATAGGTATTAAGGTTGAAGTCTAGTACTCTAGTTTATATGTTAGCTTTAACTTATCCAAACACTCCATATGAGACTAATCCACCAACACAGCAAGATGAGCCACATGGCCCTCCTCTACTACTAGAAGGCCAGGGGATTATGACACATCCTTCCTAGCACCCAGGATAGTTTGATTAGGTTATGAACTACAGTTTCCTTTCACTAAAACTTGTTACCCTTCATCTTTTGCTTCTTTATACACTGCCCCACACCTACCAATTACCTTCAACAAAATTAACTATAAACAACAAAAAATAATATAGTTATAGTTATAAACTTGTTGCCCTTCATCTTTTGCTTCTTTATACACTGCCCCCACCCCACCAATTACCTTCAACAAAACTAACTATAAACAATAAAAAATAATATAGTTAGATTTCACAATAATATAATACCAAAGTTCACAACAAAAAACTAGTAGAGGTGCTTTTTATATGCTAGGGGCATTTTATTCCACCTTCATAAGATTTTTTTTAGGCTTTCCAAAATGGGGAAAACATTAATTTTATGCCTCTAAACCTTGATTAACGATATTTCATTGAATATACTCCTTATTTCCCCCATAACCTATTGATAACTTAACGTTGTTGATTCTCTTCTCCCGCAATTCCAAGTTGTATTGTCCAAGTGGCACGCCTATATTTGGTGAGAATGGCTGAAATGCCACTCCCTTTCTCCATTGGTCACAATCACAAACCTCAATACCCTTTCCCTACCGCCTAGAGATGGCAATGGGAACCCGATCACCAATTCTCCGCTGTGAATTCACATATTAGGGGATGGGGATGGTTGATATCTACCATCCATGGGGAATCAAATGGTAAAAAAACCATCACCATCGGGGATGGCAGTGGCGGGGACGACGCTCCACCCCCCGTCCTCGTCCCCCGCAGTAACTCGCATTTATTGTACCTAGGGACCAATTTTAGACTATTTCAGTAGATATAACTTGCCTGGCCCATAAAATTAAGGCCCAATGACCATGTATATATTCCTAACCCTAGACCGGTCAACCCTTAGTTTTCAACTCATTCCCCATCTCCACATCCATCGAACAGGCTGTCCACTGTGCCGCCGCCCAACCGCTGCCGTTCAAGTGCGCTCACGTGGCGTCGTCTCCTTTTCCTCGCACGCAGCCCCACCTCCAGCCGTCCTCGTGTGCGGCGCCACAGCTAGGAGCACGAGCGCCGCCCTCGTACATTGCTAGCACGTCGCTTGCCGGCTCTAGCTGTCCTCGCATGCGGTGCTGCGGCAAGGAGCACGAGCACCCTCCTCGTCCATCACCAGCACGCCGTCCGCCGCCAGCCGCCACCCGACCGTTTCTCTCCCCTACCAGCTGCCGACCATGGCTTCGGCCTCCCCCGTAAGTTCTGACGGCGACGAAGCAAGGTGAGCACATGCGGGGATGAGGGTAACCGCGGGAATAAAATCATAGTGCGAGGGGCGGGGATGGATAAAATATAGCCCCATCGTGGTTGGCAGGGGCGGGTATGATGAAATTTTAACACCGCAGGCCCAAAGACATGGTTGTGACCCCTAACGGTGAATTCGTTGCGATCTCTACTACCACCACAAGTCCATGATCTCCTTTTTCCCTTCTAAATCTCTAGCATCTTTCAATGCCAATCCATGACTACCAAGAAAAACTTATTGGATGTATTGTACCTATAAAGGGGCATAGTCATGGAGCTAGAGTTTGCCAATGAGGAGCTAGGGCGCCCATGCGTGCCATTAGACACATTTAGCACATGTAGATATGACTACACTACCATGGAATTAATTCAATCCCTTGATCATTAGGAAGATCAATTAACCCCATATGTAAATGTTGATCAATCCACCTATTTCTCTTGGTTTGATTTGATTGATTGTGATCGATTAGTTAGTCCATTGTGTCGCATCGCCATGGATTGTCAAATTCTTCGAAAATTAAAGGAAATGTGAGGATGCAATACATTGCTCTATAAAATATTGTTTTTTTTTATTTATGTGTTGCTAAGAGAAGGGAATTTGTCCATTTCATGTTTCGGGCTCCAAAAAAAGGGTGTGGAAACAAATAGAAACTCTTGAATGGAAATTGAAAAGAAATGTAGCCTAAGTGATTTCACTAACTTGATCATACAATGTTCATTTTTTAAGACATGAGGTATCCAAATCAATATATGTAGTCGGTGTCATGGAGAAGTAATATTGTGAAATTGTTGTACTTTCCTTAACCTAATGCCTTGGAAAAGGCAAGGAACACATGATAATGGCTCCAAAATAAAATAAGGAATATAGTGGGCATGGGCAAGGTGTTAGGAATTGTTTGATGGCATATTCTGGAAGGCATGGTCACTACGGAATTTTTCTTTCGAAAGAGTTAATTGTGTTACTGGTGCCATAAACAACCTTGTCTCTATTACTGCAGGGGAAAACTGTATAATTTGCATTATAAATTTCCCTTATCACCTGTAACAGTAGTAGAATTTATTCTGAAATAAATACAGTACTAATATTGAACTCATGACCTTCTGGGAAAAGAATACTTAACAAGCTGGACTAAGCAACTCAACCAACCACATAACCTACTTGAGGTTACAATAGTGCTTAATCTGTCAAAAACATATGAAAGTATGTCCCCTTAAATAAAGAAGTGCCTATGAACTATATTTTAGGTCATTTAAGAAGCGTAATAAAACAATATTCATAGAAGCGTAATGACCTTTCTTTTCTCAAGGAAAAAAAATCTAACTGCCAAATAAAAGTGTGCAAAACAGTGTCAATGATAAAATCATCAAGGCGTCCTGCGGAATGCAGGAAAGGTTGAGAATAGAATTCTGAAAACTTTACATTGGAAGTTACAAGACTAGACCAAGCAAAAAAGTTGGAAATCAAAACTGTACATTTCCAACGAAGTCAGAATAACAATCCAAAGAAAAAGAAGAATTTGGAGTGCACCGAGGTGTCAAGAATTTGTCAAAGCAAAAGGGGCACAACTTGTTAGCAGGCTATCCTCACAATTCAGTTTGCCTCTACACCATACGGAGTACTTAATTTCCTATCTTATTTGTTTCCAGTTTGGAGTTGAGATAATATCGCCAATGGATACAATATCTAAATATAATTAATATTAAAATTCAATTGATTATTTATGATTGACTATTAGGATCAAATGTAACTAGATTCATCCTTTCTATTTATCCTATCACAAAAATCGACAGCAAATAATTGTTTACCATGTTTTTTTTAAAAAAAGAAACAATAGTGATCCTTCCCCAATAAAATGCTGAAAAAGTTCCATAGAAGGTACGATAATGCTAATTTTGTAGAGCAAGTTGCTTTAACTCAATCTCATAAATCAATTATGTTAGGGCAATATAATTGAATTTGGGTTCTCAATTGTGTCAATCTTATTGGATTCAAGAGTAAATATTAGAATAATATGGAAAACGTCTTTTTCTCCATTGTATCATTTCCGTAAGGGTGATGACAAAAGAAAACTTATGTGGGCCTGATTGTACAATGTTTTAATGCATTACATTTTGACCTTGCCTATCTCCATGGAAGTGGTTGAACAGTGAAGAACCATACTAATTTAAAGATCAACCTTTTCAAAGTCCAAGAGCTAAGTGTTGTACATTGTGCATGTACATGTTGTATGCTCAGTATGGATTAAAAAAACAGTATGCCATGATCACATAAGTGCAGAGTTACTGCAACAGCAATCACACATACCATGAAGAGCCAAAACAAAATTTATCTCGTCCCAAATACAAACTAAAGTTGGTTCAAAATGGCAAAGCAAATTATAATTCGTACTCCCGCCTATGATTCCAAATGTTGAAGTTGTGCATGCACAAGAACTAAGAAATGTGTGCTAAAATAAACTTGTTTCCCTGCAGTTATTATCCATTGGAAATGAAATGATACACCATTTTCTATACATCAGAGTGGTAGTGATCTCAATTAGCAAAGGTAAGAGGAAAAATTGGGTACAAGTGCAGAATCAAAAGTCCTATATCGTCTTATATCTAAAGAAGTGTAAATAACTCCAAAATGACCTATATTTAGAAACGGATGGAGTACTAAATTCATATAGTCCAAGAATAACCAGCACTGAGCCACTAATGATGGAGCAGTACTGCATTAATTACTCTGCAAGTTTAGTTGAGTTAGCAGAGAGTGCCTAGGAGTCTGATCATAACCTTAAAATTTCATGTGGTCCTGCACTTGCCTAATACTAGTACTAGTACTAATGCATGCAACAATATAATGTAAACGATGAGTTCAGTAGATAAAATACTGAACAAAGTTCGCATGAAAGTAATTAGGGGAAATTATGCCATCAAGTTCTTAACAAAAAATAGCGAAATATTTATCTTATGAATCTGTAAAACTAAGGTGATGGACATGATTTATAAGCTCCATTTTGCTCCAAACGAACTAATAAATAGTATATGCACATAAGCAACCTTTCTCAAAGAAAAAAAGATTACTGATGTGGAAAGGTCAACAGAAAAAAACAAATCGTGTGGAGAAGTCTTCAAAGAATTTTCATGCGAAAAGGCTCACTAAAGATGAAGGAAACAAAACCATATGCATGCATATGCGGTTGAAATTGATTAGTCACAACAGCATAAACAATAAGAGAACATTTAGGGGATGGGGGTACATATAACTATATATAGCTAAGTATGGTGAATTGGTGATTGAGTTGAGTAAGTATACTCACCAGTGAGACTGAGAGGAGAAGCTGAGCTTGTGCATGCGAGCGAGAGCATATATGTGTGTATGGCAGTGACAACGGGAGAAAGCACGCAGGTACGCCGCCGCGGGCCGGCTCACCGTGACCGCCGCACCGGCGTGCTCTCTCTCGTTGTCACCGCCGGCCGGCGAGCAAATTAACCAACCAAATCTTCGTCGGCTGGCCGGGCAAGAAATCAACCTGAACCTGAACCAGTAGAATCAAACCGAAATTTATTGGATTAGACAAGATCAGCTCCCTCTGAATCAAGATCGAAAAGAGACGCAGATGTGTCCTCTCTTCTCTCCCTCTGAATCAAGCAGCGCAATATTACATGGAGAACGGATCGATATGCGGCCATGAAACCAAGATCCAAGATTTTTTTGCCTTAATTTAATGCCTTTGCAAGAAAACAGGAAGAACAGCTCGAGAAAAGAAAAGAACCAAAACCAGCATGCATGAAATCTGAAAGAAAAAAAAAAGATCAGTAGCAGACTACTACTCCGTAGCTACTCTAGCAAGTAGTAATAGCAACCAAGAAAACCCGTAAACGACGACCACGGACATGAAGGAAGAAGGCGTAGTTAGAAGTTAGAACAAGGGTTGTTTTTTTTTTCATTTCACCTGAGGTAGAAGAAGAGTAGATCCTCGCGCCATGGACGAGCGAGGTTGGATCGATCAGAAGATTGAAGACAGGAAGCTTCGAGGTATACTTCAACAATATACTAGAGGATGAGGAGGAGAAGAAGGAGGAGGCAGCGTGTCGTCGCCTCGGCGCATGGGAAAAAGCTACTCCTACTACTACTACTAACGGACTACTCCAGTAGCTTAGCTCTCTCTCATCAGTTGGCTCCTCGATCGGCGAGTGTGTTGCGTTGTGCGGTGAGCTGCTGATGGTGTGGCTTTATCGTCAGCCTCCTGCTCGTCCTGTTACTCTTGTGCGGTACGGAGTGAAATTGTTATTTGTTACTAGTACAACTAGAATGTCATTAAAGTTGAGAAATTTTGACATAGCACGGAAAAAAAACTGGTATTAAAAAAATAGCATAAATATTTCTTCTTTTTGACCAAAATTAGATGACACTTGTTTTTCTTTGATTAATAGCACTGCCTGTCACATTTGTCATCCAAACATTGTTTAGCCATGATTTAAGACGTGAAAAGATGATTTTGTTCTTTATTCTTACCAAACTTGATCTTGGGCTCCTTGGCTATTCGGCTTGGCTTGAATCCCGATGGACAGCGAGGGTGAGTGGGCGTGGGTGCGATGGCCGGTGGAGGTGGGACACCGTGGCGGCGGTGGCAGATGAGGAGGTATGTCTGATGGAGGTCGTGCTCCTAAAAGAAAGGGCGGCAGCGGTAGCTACTTTCAGGGCATCGCACGTCATGGAAAAGGACGATGACAACGGCAGTTTTGCAAGCAGCGATGGTTTCTTGCTAGGTGCTGTGGTGCGACAATGACGGCTGCTTGCGGGTTGCTCGACCGCACGTGGCAGCGAGGCGTTGCGGATTGGTCAGCGATGGCCAGGGCCGGAGGGGCAACGACAATGGTTGCTTGCGGGTCGCTCAGTGAGATGAGGATCGAATGGGAAAGAACGAGAATGCGAGGAAAATGAAGAACAAATTAGTCCCATGAAAAATCTCTCTACTCTAGTCTAACCTTGTTGGGTCAAAATTCAACGGAAGTGTTACATGCTGAAGAAAAACCGATTGCATATTTTCCTGGTTAAAGAGAGAAACTACTTTGCTATTTATTTTATTGGTATCAGGTTGTTTCCTGTGATATGGTTTGAATTTTCTCACTAAAAGTCTAATATGGCATAAATATAGGTCACCATTTACATATTTATTATATTTACTTTCCTTTCATCTGTCTTTTTTAAATACTTCCTCCGTAAAAAATGAATAAGGTGTATAGTTTGACGAGTATTTCTAAACCCATCTTTAAAAGAGTCTTACTAAAAGAAACACATGAAAACTTATAGTGTAACTACTTCACTTCAATATTTATAGTTTCAGGTATAGCAGAGGTGACAGAGCTATAGCCAAGAAAAGAAGGCATGAGAAGGACAAAAAGCATGCCATACTAGTAAGAAAGATCAGATGATTCATGAAGCCAAAGTGATATTAGAACAGTGGAATTTAAATTAAAATCACATAGAAAAACACACACTTAACTTTGCACTAAAACCGCAGAACGTGCGAAAAGTGAATTATTGGTTCAAAAAGTGGGATCATCTTGAAGTGGAACTTCTATGTGGTCCCATCGAATCTAATCCTCCACCGACGGAAAAAAAAAGAGAGTGGTATGTATTTTTAAATATAAGCGTACAAAACATAAGATTTGTTAATCCTGATGTCTATTAGACGATTAAAAGGTGACAACTTTTAGAATATTGATATATGATTTTCTTTGATATGCATGTTTCCTATTAATAATCAGCGTAGACCTCGTCTGTTAAACAAACGAACAGACCTCACCATAAGCTCAAGAAGAGAGCTAAAATCATCCATGATTTGGCTACTAACGACTATATGAAAATCCATTGAGTTTTCTCTTGATTTTTGCTGAAGCTCCAATACAAATCACAAATAAGTCTTTTTTTTTTGGAATTATAAGAGTAAAATTGTGACAAGAGAAAACATATGCACATAAATGCAAAACGAAGCCACATGCCTACAATGTCACACATGAGCAGCAGCAGAATAACCAGACTCGGGTACGAATCTCCCATGCAAAACAAAAAACACGAGCCCAAAACCAAGAGCCCCTGGTGTGTCAGAGACAGAGAGCATTGGTAGTAGGACTTGTAGTATTGTTTTTTCTCTCTTCCTCGGATGAAATTAACACGAAGGACCGGGGGCTATTTCCGGGGTGGCCGTACCACTCCACGTCATTTGGCTTATCCACTTCTCAGCTCACTAGGCTATCCCCCACAGCACTGTAGAACTAACTGAAAGAAAGCTAAGACGTACCCGAAAAGATACACCAACCGTTCTGCGTGGTGGGCCTGCGCCATGTTGGTTTAAAGAAAAAAAATCCCCGGGGGGGGGGGGGGGGGGGGAGGTGTAGAGATGCAAGTGGTAGTCCCGCTGCCCGTATAAAAACCCGCTTGCTATTTCATTTTCCACATGGTACTACAAAATTTTAAAGAAAAAATGAACTAGAAGTGAGATAAGCGGGCTAAAAAACCCGCTTGCCCGCTCCGCTTGCATCCATAGGGGGTGCGTATTGCAGCATTGATGCTAAACTTATATGATTGCATAATACAATTAAACCCTATTATTTCGTGATGATTATAAACTGTAAAGACTTTATAAATAATAAAAATAGTTTATTTATAAATATATATGGGTTTTAGAGTTTAAAAACTAGTAATATTAAAAATAAACCACGAAGAAAAATCCCCTCGAAACCAACTTAATTTTAAAAATCAAAGTTTAACAGCAGCTTATAAATAGAAAAACAAACAATATAGTTGTTACTCCCTACATCCAAATAGTGTACTTTTAGCTAGTCAAAAATACTAATTTGCCAGGATGTTAAAAGACAACTATACCCTTTATTAATGTGGAGGAAACACAACGAGGAGGAGAAAAAGAGGAAAATGAGAGACTTACTACAAGTTCGGTGGTTAAAATGAGAAGAAAAAATAAAACACCAGAGCTTTAGAGCAAGGATAATAGTGGACTGTAGCCAAGCAAAAACTTACATGGAGATATAGAAAAAAATGAGTAGTGTTTGCTCTAATGCAAGAGAGCCAACACTACTTAATTTTGAGTATTTGATATCTCACTTATACATAAGTGTCTCACATATGGATTAATGCATTTGTTTTAAAGCTTAAGTGAGAAAAAAATAAAGACAACCTTATAGCTAATTTGCTATATATATTAGCTTAGTTAGCTCTACTATTAAACTTGCTCAAGTAGCAAGTATCGATATTACGAGTTAGGTATAGCTCATATACTTGGATTTGTAGTCTCATGGAATACCACATAACTATTACTATGCGGAAAGGTATATTCAAATATGGGAATATATCATATAAGAATAACAACTTCTTCCATGGGAATAGGGGTTGTCGGAGTCTCATGTGAAGGGGTCTTATCTACCCATGTCCTACAAAGGCTCTCCTAGTTCTACCTGGAGAAAGAAGTTGACTATCTGTATAAATGCATCCCTAGAAGGGGAGGACATCTAATTACAAGCCACATCGTAGATCCATCAGATGGAAGACAATAGCTAGCCGCTGACTTGAAGTCGTTGGATTGGTTCTCGTCGAGTATTAGTTGGTAAGCTAGATTAGCTAGCTTCCTGTCCCATTGTAATCTATGAGATACACTCTAATTCTCTAAAGCTATACATATAAATTGCATTAGGGTTATTACCCATATTGGGAGCCTTAACTAGTATATAATTAATCCCTTGTCTTACATCTACTTATCACATTCTCGTATATACCTTGGTACCAGCGTGGTAGCGTCCCCCATACTATACAAATACCGTAATAGGGTATATAGCTCGTCTACGATGACATGCCAGGTAGGGGGCTTGGTGCTAAAAGGTTTAGATAATATGGGTTCAAGAGGCGTATTTTTTGATGACGACTTCTATGATCAGCTTGACCTGGGAGATACGACCCAGTCAGTGTTCACTCTTCTCCAAGTCGGATCCGTCCCGTTCCCGGTCTTTGGAGCTACGTCGTGGATCCACCCTACAGCTCCCAGCGAGAATAGGGCATTGATGTCAAAGCCCGCTCGCAAGGCCAAGAAGCAATGGTGCCCCTTCGATGATATGAGTTCTCACTCACTAGATGGATGCAACGTTATGTTAAAGGATAAAGCTGAATGTGTGCTTGCAAGCTTCATGATACTCAGTGTGTTTCCCCCCATACAAATTTTGTCCCATCCATAAGACAAAATCCCAAACTCTGTTGGAGTGCAAAGTCTCATCAAAGTCGTCGAAGCTATGAATCCGCACATGCCAGCAAGTTCTCCTCCCAAGAGTTGTCCGACCCACCCCTAACAACGTCAACCGATCAATTCAGGATCAAATGATAACATGTCGTATAACTCAATTTTCGATGATTCAGAATGACTGGTTGGTTACCTCAGACTAGATCCCCTGAACCATATATATGTTCTCCACAGTTTGAATCCATTCAAGTCCTCGGGATAGAATTTAGATCGTAGTGTGAATTTCGTTGAGATCGATGATCTAGCCACTTGCAACGGTAGACTGGACGGTCACAAGTCATGAGAAATCGAGAGCTCATCTAATCCAAAAGTAAAAAAAAAACTCCTCGAACCGAGTCCTACATCACATCGCTCGAGCACTTGACCAACGTACAAAGCCTCCTTCAGCGTATCTTTTTTTATGCGTAATTTGAACGTATCCTCCTTGAAGGTACATGTGGTGTTCAACATGGCATCCCAGAACCAGGTAAAAACCAGCTAGTGGTAATTTGAACGGTTTCAGTAATTAGAGGATGTTAAATACTTGGTTTTGAAGTTTGAGGATGTATTATAGACAAAATTAAGAGTTGAGAGATGTAAAATGGATTTCTGTCTAGAGTTTAAACCCCGTCACCACCTTATCTCATCCTATTGCCAAATGGGCATGTAGAGCTTGACAAAAGAGAGAATGAGATATATAGCGTACATGATATTCATTCTATTATGGATAAGATGAATCACATGAGTACTAATTTTATAAAATTATTGCTACCACAAGGAGGATTCAATCAAGATCGTGTGTTCAAAGCCTTTAGAAGACTCTTTCCTTCTGCCTTTGTCTGCCCAAGCTTATGAAGAATATCTGCTCCTGGAGGATGACTTATCTGAAATTCACTCGCAGCCGGTTCATGGGATAGTTGGAGTTTTATATGGAACAGTGACATCTACACAACTAAGAGGTTCTACA